CCTGGAAGCTGCACATTCTTTCTGAAACATTAATAATAAAGCCATTGGTAACTATTCTCCCTTAGATGAATTTCAATCATAGACTCTTTGGCTAAGAATTTGGTAAAGCCTCAGACTGTTTTGAAGGCTAGGGTGTATTTCATCCCTTGCCTGTTAGTTGGGTCTTACATTGTACATTGATTAGTGCCAAGGATGGTGGGAAGGTAGCCACACACCATGGAAAAGATCTGTTTCCTGCCTTGTCCAGTATTCACAGGAGATCCTTTCTCTGGTTATATGTTTCCCAAACAAGACTCTCTAGGAAAACCTAGAGTTTCATTATGGAGCAACTCTACATGTGTGCAGATGTCACCTGTATTAAACATCCACCAACTACCAAGCATGGAGCTTAGTTTCTGCTGAGTTTTCAGATTCTGCACATGATGTGCTCTGCTTTCCTGGAAAGGGTTGGTCCTGCGTGATGCCTTTTGGTCAATCATAGCTCATCCCTCCTCATTCTAGGAAGGAGCAGGAAGATCATAAAATATTCCTCATTCTAAGTTACAACATGGTCTCTTCATGTTGGATGGATAAATGCCTTTGAATTTATCTGTCATTTGAAGAGGACACATGGTTTAAGGTGAACAGAACTGTATTGGAAATCAGGAATGTTGGCCTTGGGTATTGATTCTATTCCAAACTAGGGTGGGTTTCATGCTCTTCATCTGTAAAATAAGGGAATTTGAAAAGTTGATATTAAATGTCCTGTTTCATTCCAAATCATGCAACTATATTGCCTAAATTGAACTTTGGTGATACCAGGTGATGGCAGACTGGAAATGTGTGTTCCTGTGGTACTCTAAAATAATCACTAGACTTTTTGTGTGTTATTGGAGTTTGAATTCAGGGCTTTGTGCTTGCAAGGCAGGTGCTCTTCCATTTGAGACATGCCTTCAGCCCACCCCCCCAAATTTTTAACAATTATTCAAACCCTTCTTTTGGGTCCATATTTCCTATAAAGCCTTCTTCATCTTTGAATTCAGAATTTCTTTTTAAATCATATGTTTTCAGGGCTGGAGCTGTAGCTCAAGTGGTAGAGCATTTGCCTAGCAAGCATGGGGTCCTGGGTTCAATCCCCAGGACTGTAAATCAACCAATCGTGTTTCCATTAAACTTTGTTTAACACAGTCTGGACATTCATTCTTTTTTCTTTTTTTTAATTTTTTTTTCTTTTATTACTCATATGTGCATACAAGGCTTGGGTCATTTCTCCCCCCTGCCCCCACCCCCTCCCTTACCACCCACTCCGCCCCCTCCCTCTCCCCCCACCCCCTCAATACCCAGCAGAAACTATTTTACCCTTATTTCTAATTTTGTTGTAGAGAGAGTATAAGCAATAATAGGAAGGAACAAGGGGTTTTGCTGGTTGAGATGAGGATAGCTATACAGGGCATTGACACACATTGATTTCCTGTGCGTGTGTTACTTCTAGGTTAATTCTTTTTGATCTAACCTTTTCTCTAGTTCCTGTTCCCCTTTTCCTATTGGCCTCAGTTGCTTTTAAGGTATCTACTTTAGTTTCTCTGCGTTAAGGGCAACAAATGGACATTCATTCTTATCTCAAACATTTTTTATCTCTCCAAAAAAATCCTTTGATTAGATGACGTTTTCATGTTGTACACAGTGAATTTCTCACTTCTGTTTGGGATTATAACAATTTAAGTGTCAAAATTATTTGTTATCATGTTATTATAAATGTAAGCAACAATGAACTGTCACATGAAGCCTTTTAATTTTTCTTTTCCTTTCCTTCTGTCTTCCGCCTTCTCCTTTTATCCTTTTTCCTTGTTTTTTTGAGACAGGATCTCACCATGTAGACCAGGCTAGTTCAAACTCATGATCTTCCTAACTCAGTTTCCCAAATGCTGGGATTATAGGCGTGTACCACCACATTTGGGTACAAGGGGCTTTTTCAAAAGGAAGAAATTTAATATATGACAACATAGAATGTAATCCTCTATGATTTAAGAGTGTTGTCTTATAACTATGAAAAATAGTCCCAAATTTTTCTCTTGTCTTCTTCTCAGCAAGTGGTGGTATCTATAGGCAGCAGTGAGAAGATTAGTGGTTCAGGTATTTAAGATTTTACAATAATACTTGGTATATTTAGAATATGCAAGACACAAAGAGAGAACTTGATAACTTTTTATTGAATAAATGAAGAAATTAATGAGGTTTATCTGAAGTCCACTATACAAATAGGTAAGAGCCTTCAGTGCAAACAGTTTTTTAGTTATTTCATTGTATCTGTTTAAAATATTTTAAGTTATGTGAAATATTCAACATTATCACTACAGTGGTCATTTAGCAATAGACTAGGTTCCTTTTTCATTTACTGCATTACTTACTAGAGTAACAAAAGTATGTATACAAGCATGATGTCATCGCTGAGACATGAATCCTAAAACCAAAGAATATTCTTTACTTCACAAGTAAATAAACCGAGGCAAGAGCTAGTAACATTTCTACTTGAACAGTAGACTGTGAAGCAGGATGTACTCATGTAAGAAAAGAAACATGACTATACATTTGAATATAAAAATCTTAAAATAAAATTCCATATGTGTATGTAATCTCATATGTATGTACATGTAGCTTTAAAAGCAGTAGTAAGTAGATTCTCCTGCAACCATCTGTTAAGATTATAGACTATGACCCAACCCTAAGGAGCTCTGCCTGTGTTGCTAAACTCACAGTCCCTACTTAATCTCCAACTTGAGCTAACCGTTGTCCTGAATTTTGTTTTTAGCACTTGGTTGCTTAAATAACCCGTTGAGCCTACCATGTTTTGAGTTTCACATAAATAAAATTGTAATTATTCTTCTGTGATTTTTAATCTCTTAATAATTGTGAGGTTGATAAATCAACATGGAGTTCTATCTCATTTTCCCCATTATCTTTCAGTACTTGAACACAGTTCACCTTATTTGTTCATTGTCGTGATGAAAGTATATTTTAAATTTGTTTCAAAATATGCAGTGTTCATTTGTTCCATTTTAATCTTGCCTTTAACTGATCTTTATTAGAATTATATTGGTTAAACAGTTCAAACCTTAAATATTAGTCAATATGGAGAGCAGAAATGAAAGTCAGTGTTCTGATATCCTCAGTCCTATTAAGCTGAACAGTAGCTTGGCCTGTCTGGGCCAGTTTGCAGCAAGTCTGTTTTGTCTTAGATAGGAGACCACAACTTAATAACCTTCTATTTCTCTAATCATAAACTTTTGCTTTCCTGTGTGAAATCTTTCCCAGTAAGCAGATATACCAGCAAGATTCCGTTACAGATAGTGGCTTCTTATCCATGTCCTCTGTGTTCTCTTAATAGGTCTGTAATCATTCATGGGTATGCAGACATGGTACAAGGTCTGATCACTAATGAAAACAGGCATGTTCATTGATTCAAGACCAAGTAGATTTAATGCATACACAAACCACTCCCTGACAGCTAGACATCCCCAAAAGTTCATTTCTCATGACATGCAGGAAGTCATTTGGCAAATGTCTATCTGGTGGGATAATATCAGCCTGTACAACTAATGGCTCAGTGACTTTCTGGCAGAGAATTAGTGGAGGCAGAGAGAAAGGAAAATGAAATATGTTTTCCCTTTTTAAAAAAATATTGTTGCATTCATTTAATCATATTAAAATTTGTATTTGAAGAAGAATTTTCAGGGCTGGTAGAGTGGCTCAAGTGTTAAGCGCCTGCCTAGCAAGCGTGAGGCCCTGAGTTCAAACACCAGTACCACTAAAATTTTTTTTAGTTTACAAATTCAAAAATATATAGTTAACAGAATCTGTATGTACACAGTTTATGTGTAGTTGAGCATCTGAGGGCCAAGGTTTCTTTGATTTGTCTTAGGGTACTGGGGTTGAATCCAGAGGTCAGCCTCACCTTGAAATCCTTACAATCAATCCTTACAAACTACTAATAATTCCTGTCTTCTGCTAGAAGACCATGATGATGCATGTCTGTGGCTCTGTGGTACTTCCCTCAACATGGTAGGCACTAAACTATCTCTCATACAAATGAATTTGAGACCTCCTAGCAGAGCTTGTTTGAAATGGTGTTTTTATGAGTTAGGATTGCAAAAGCAAGATTTAAACTTGGTATCATTGTAATTTTAGGGAATGGCATGTTACTTGTATTTGTCTTCTTCCTGGGGTGATTGTTTCTTATTTTTAGTTGCCTGAGGTTCTCATGGAAAAAGGGGGGCAAGGAATAGCACATTGTCTGGCCTGTATATCATATTCAACACTTTCTAGATGACTGGGGAAAGACATTTGAGAAAAATGGGGGGTACTGTGAGATCCAGCTGAAGTAAACAATTTTCAACAGAGTTGAGCAACTGCCATATATATTGAAAATAACAGTTGGTTATATATATTATTAATAGTAATTATTATATGCTTAATGCTCATGTTTCTTCAAAAGTACTGTGCTTCCTATCCTTGTGGTTTAAAAGGAGGGGGAGGACATAAGGAAAGGGTGAAGGAGGGCAAATATGGTAGAAATATTATGTACTATGCATGAAAATGGAACTGTTGAAACTATCCTAAGAAGTGGATAGTGGGGATAAAGGAGAATGATGGATATGCTAGTAAAAAATTAAAATTTAAAACAAGTATCTAACAAGTATACTGTTCTACTTGTAACACTTACGGTCTACTTTTAACCCATTCCAGATCTGAACTCAAAAATGATTTCTTCAGAAAAGATGCCCCAAAGCCCCAACCCTGTCCTTCTCCCTATTTCCCTTGTTGTAATCAGATAATTAATTGTGTAGCGAGTAGCTAGTCGTGTCTCTTGGCATCTGAGATTTGTGAGACCAGTCTCAGGATAGTTTAATTTTGAATTCACAGAAGCAAACAGTAGGTGTTCAATAAATACTTGCTGAAGCCATGGGTATTGAAAGAATCATCTAAAGTTTGGTTACATTTTCTTTCTCATTTTCTCTCTTTAGCTGGGAAGTTAGCACTTCCAAACCAGATGAAAGAACTAGACTCAGCCACTGTATTGCAGAATCATGGATGAATTTCAGCATATTTCTTCAAGAAATGTCTCTTTTTAAACAGCAGAGTCCTGGAAAGGCAAGTTTTCCTACACAAGGGTGTGTTTTTAAATGTTGAATGTACCTGGAAACAAATGAACTAATCTCTTTTGGCTGTAAGGGTCCTCCAATTCTGAATGGACTAGGAACATATGCCATAAAAGCTGGTATCAACAAGGCTCAGAACATTAGCGAATGAGCAATAGAGTCTTCAGCCTCACTTTTTGAAATTGTATCAGTTTTATATTTTATACATATTTAGCTCATTAATTAGAATGAATGGTGAGTGTTATTAGCCAAACCAAACGGGAAAAAAGTCTTATCAAGAATTTCAGTTACTGTATTTAGTCTGGCTTTGAAGTTAAAGTCTCTTGAGGGTACTTTCAGAGGTTACAGAGTATCACTTTCAATCTACAATTGGAGATTCTGGTATGATTTATTTCAGGAAAACTGCCAGACATGATGGTACCAATTTATAATCCCAGCATGCAGGAGGCTAAAGCAGGATCTGGAGTTCGAGGCCAGCCTGAGCCCCAAAGACGGGGGAAAAACAAGAAAAACCCGACTTTTGACTAAAAAACGTTCATAATGATTATACAACTGGAAAGAACATTTTTCCAATTTAAGATAAAAACCCATGAGGGACAAAGTCTTAAGTGATTGGGCAGGGATTTCTTGGAGGCGGGCACACACTTGAAGTATTGTGTAAGTATTAGAGGCAGCTCTAACTGTGACCAACAGTCTTGATGACTTGTGAGGAGCAGAATATCAATAGGTCTTGTGTTTTCAAGGGCTGCCTTTAAGTATCCATCTGTAGTTGGAACGGAGAGCTGGAAACTATCAGCATTTAAGATCCTGCCATTGCACTGTTTATGAGCAATCATCTATCTTCAGTAGTATTAAGAACTATGCTTGGAAACATTTTGAACATACTGAAGCGGCAGTGTTGTATTTGGATAGATTTTTCAAATCACTGAAGGTCATTTTTATTTGATTGCTTGTTTATTTGGTGGTACTGGAGTTTGAACTGAAGGCCTTGTGCTTGCTAGGTAAACACTCTACCACTTGGGCCATGCCCCCTGCCCTTTGTACTTTATTTTTTTCAGACAATGTCTTACACTTTTGCCCTGGCTGGCCTCATACCATGATCCTCCGCTACCTATACTTCCCCTGTAGATGGGATTACAGGATGTACCACCACACCTGTCTTTTTTGCTGAGGTTCAGTCTATCTAACTTTTTGCCTAAGCTGGCCTCAAACCATGATTCTTCCAATCTCTGAGACTACAGGCATGAGCCACTGAAAGTCATCTTTAGAATAGGTATTCATATAGTGGGCACGATGGATTTTTGGTACCCCTTTTATGGGAGAGATTAAACATATTTTTGGAAGATTCCAAACTTCAAATTTCTGTACGTATTACATTAATGTGCTCCAAGTCCATTAGCTGAGGAGAATGCTACATGGTCTAGGTAATAATAAGAAATCTTTTGCAAAACAGAATTCTGGAACACACATATTTTGTTGACTTACTTGATCCTTTGACTTCTGTAGCCTTCACTCTTCTATTTCATTTCTAGAATTCTACATTCTTTCAATGGGCCTTGTAGTTTTTGAAACAGCTCTTAATTTTGCTCTATGAATTCATCTATACTCCTTTGTTGAGTTTATTTATTAACCCCGTGCCAAAGAATGAACTATCAAAGTTGATCTGAAATGTAGGCTCCATGCTCTCTTACTCAGTTATTGATCAGAGATATGAATTCCTTCCTCATGTCTTTTTAGAAGTCCCTTAATATATTTTCTTTGCTTGCTGATCAGTTTAACACCATTTAAAAAACAAAGCCAAAAAGAGTGTGGAAAACTTTTCTATGTTCATGTTTCTAAAAGAAATTAGGGAACATTTTATAGATTGTTTTAAAATTTCTTAAGACCACCAAGTTTTTTGTTTGTTTTACAATTGACAAAAGAAAAATAATCAGATTTCACTGGAGGAGTTTCATTTGCAGTTGGTTTCTGGGTGACCTAGAAGTAGCTAAATATGGTTAGGAAGAAGGATTGTTATTTATGTCAGAAGTTTACCAGCTGTGTAAATTATATCAGATTTGTACAGATGTTTGTAATTTTTGTAACATGTTTTGTTGTTTATGAATTTTGATGAGTTTACAGTAGTAGTTTGAAATTTTAGATTTAGTTATCAGGCTGCATTGCCCCCATTAAATGAGGCTGAGTAAAAGAAATTTCTGGGGACATATTATTGTTCAGCTCTCTTGCACCTGGCAATAATATCATCATAAGCATGAGTAATGGAAGTTGTCATTGTCAGTGCCAGACATGAGCTCTTCTGCCCCCAAATGATTATTACTGTTAAAGTGAACTAAAGCTTATTAAATGTCCCTGAGTGCACATTTACCATTACCTGATCAATTGTACATAGAGAAATAATCATGCATGTATTCTGTGCTCTAAAGTGTCTTGGGTGCATAACTGTGCTATGTTATTTCTATTTTAGTTTTGTCTCCTGGTCTGCAGTGTGTGCACGTTTTTTACGGTCTTAGGAAGTTACATCCCTGGGGTTATACTCAGCTATCTACTATGTAAGTACAATAAAACATTTCATTGGTTTGTATGATGGATATACTGGCATTTAGTGGTCAACAGACCTCCCATGGTTTGCGAAAGGGGGATGAGTTACATATTATAAAGCAAGTTGATTATTCTTTAATCTCCCGATGTACAAATTTTTTTTCTAGAGACATGTTTATTTTAAAATTGAAAGAACAGCTGCAAAAGACAGGATTATAAGTAAATGTTTTTTATGTTAAATTATGCCAATAAAAATATAAACTATATGCCCCAACCCCTATAAATACACCAACACTTTGTCTTTATGCATGTTCTGTGGTTCAAAAGGTAAAATCACAATGACATGATACTGTACTTCTGCCAGGCTGGCTAAAATGAAAAATATGGATCATATCAATTATCAGGAAGGATATGGAGAAACTGGAATTCTTACACACTGTTGGTAGATAGATAGGATGGTTTTGGATAACAGAACGGCAGTTAGGTATTTACCCAAGAAAAATGGAAGCATGTATCTGCACAAAAATGTATATACAAGTGTACATAGCAGATTTATTTTTAGTACCCCAAGTGGAATACAATCCATGTAACTTATCCATGAATGAATAAGCTCTGGTATATCCACATAATGGATTACTACTCAGCAACACTGTGGATAAATGTCAAAATAATTAAGCTAAGTGGATGAAACCAGATAAAAAGAGTATATAGTATTTGATTCTATTTATACATAATTCTAGAAAATTCAAAGTAATTTTTAGTGACAGTGCATATCAATGGTTACCTGAGGATGAGCTGGGAAAAGGCAGGGAGAGGCAACTAAGAGAAGGGAAGGATTAATAAAAACATGAGGAAATTTTTAGGAATATGTTCACTATCTTGATGGTGGTGGTGATATCAAAACCTATTAAATTGTACAGTTTGACTTTGTGTATGATTTATTGTATGCAAATTATAACTCAATAGTGCTACTTTGTGTAGATTTTATCCTTTTCATGAAAATTATGAAGATCTTGCACTGCTACCTTTGATGGGCTAGATAATTTCTAGTTAACTAATGCTCCTATTTTCCTTTTCTTCTTATACTATCTTTTAAGATTCACATAAAATTCCATGGCCTCCAGAGATACCTGAGTTTGCAATTCCTATTTTAAAAGGCAGTAGTAGCCATTTCCTAACAATAAAGAAATATAGGGAATACAATACCAGTGTCAGTGTGGCAAGCATTTCTTTTTGTATTCCTAATACATTACACAAACGGCAAATGACTGGTGCTCAAAACCAGTTTCCAAATAGAACCTGTAAAATAGTAGCTTCTTGGTCTGGGGATATAGCTTAGTGGTAGAATGCTTGCCTAGTATGTGCAAGCCCCTGAGTTCCATCCCCAGCACTGCAACAACAACAAAAAAAGAACGCTTCTTGATCTGCACTGTTTAGGAAGTAAAGGAGAAATATGAGCAATATTAGCAATATCCTAAATATGAGTGTTTTTCAGATGATCTGTAGTCATCTCAAATTCACACTAATCCCAAGAAATATTATTATAGTATTACTGATGAAATGCTAACAGATAATAACTTTCCTGTAAGGTGATATTTAATTTAAAAAATGAGGTTTTAACTCAGCACAGTCATTTGGAAAGTATATGATCTTTCTGTAAGTTTTATGGGTAAAAGGATTGAGGGGGAGAAAGCTGATCTAATTGCAAGTCTGAAAACCATGGCTATGAGAGAGAGAGAGAGAGAGAGAGAGAGAGAGAGAGAAGTAAAATATGTTTTACTTACAAGGGAAGAACAGAAATTAAGAACTTATTTCACAGAGACATTACCCTAAGAAAACACTTCTTTTTTTTCCATAAAGGGATCAGTATTTTGGGAAATACTAAGATGTAAGCATTTAAGGAAGGCCATTTCACCTATACTCTCATTTTCTTATATTTCAGTACTGTTTGCATTTTTGTGTCCACTGTTTAAATGTAATGATATCGGACAAAAAATATACAGCAAAATCAAGTCAGTTCTGCTGAAACTAGATTTTGGAATTGGAGAATATATTAACCAGAAGAAACGTGAGAGAGCTGGTAGGTAAAGTTTGAATTTTAGATTCCATGCATGAAATGAGTCATTAGTAGACTATTTATGATGAGATCACCTTTAATACATTTCAGAGTGCTTTTAGCCTTGTACTAAATTTTATTAGATAACCTAATTCCCCCCAAATAACATATATACATATGCAGCTTTTCCTATTCAGGATTTTATTCTTTTCTCAAATACACAATTAAATAATGTCTTTTTAAATCCAAGTTATCAAGGGAGGTAGAAAAGTCTTTAACAACTCTATACTTTTCTATTTATGATTTACTTCATTTTGGGTTGGATTACTGAAAATATAAAATGCCAAAGGTAAGGGTAAGAGTGTGGCAGCCACATAAAAGGGAACTAAGATAATAGGGGAAGGAGAAGAAAGTAAGAGGAAAAAACAGTGTAATCATTTTTTACCTTGGAGGTTCTCAGACTATAGCATGAATCAGAATTATCTAGAGGGCTAATGAAAGCATAGAATGTGGGCCCTGCCACAGAATTTCTGACTCAGTAGGTTGAGGGCAGGACCTAAGAGTCTGCATCGCTGAAAAGTTCCAGGGATGATGATGCCGTCAGCACTGCTTGTAGCTACTGTGGGCCATTTCCTTTGGAAAACATTTTGCAAATATGTGAAGCTTCCTAAGTACAGGCGTTTTAATTATTGGGAGGCTTGGAGCTATAGGGAATGTGGATAAGAATGGGAAGTATACTGTGTATAAGCTTACCAGGAAAACTGACAGCTTCTAATTTTTTTTTTCTCAACAGAAGCAGATAAAGAAAGAAGTCACAAAGATGACAGTGAATTGGACTTTTCGGCTCTTTGTCCTAAGGTAGTTTTGTTTAGTTTTCAATTTGTTTCTGTGTGGTTTCACTGTACATTTATTTACAGGCAGCAAAGCATAATGATTTTCCTAATAAACTCCTATTTTATAAGATGACTGAATAATCTCAAAGAATACTTACCTCTTTTTTATTAATATGACACTTTTGGGGTCAGTGTGGAGTTTTCAAAATATTTTCTTCTGTTTAAAATGTGCCACTGGGATTTGTGTCAACACAGATTAGCCTCACGGTTGCTGCCAAAGAGTTATCTGTGTCTGACACAGACGTCTCAGAAGTATCCTGGACTGATAATGGGACCTTCAACCTTTCAGAAGGATACACTCCGCAGACAGACACTTCTGATGGTATATTCTTTTTATTATTATTGAATACATGTAAAAACATTCAACTTCTGCCAACCACTGAATGGATATATAACATGTGGTGTATCTCCACATTGGACTACTACTTGGATGTAAAAGTGAACACTCATACTTGCTTCAGCATGGATGAACCTTCAAAACTTTATGCTAAGTGAGAGAAGCCAGACACAAGTGGCCACATACTGCTTAATTCCACACATGAGCTGTCCAGAATAAGCAAGCCTATATAGAGGGAAAGTAGGTTAGTGGTTGCTAGGGACTTCTAGGAGAGAAGGGAAAGTCATTGTTAATTGTAAAACTTTATTTTTGGAGTAATGAAAATGTTCTAGAATTTGTGGTAATAGTTGTACAGCTTTGTGAATATATTAAAACCCACTGAATTACACACTTTAAAAGGATGAATTTTATGGTATACAAATTATGTCTTGAAACTTCTATTTCTTAAGAAAGTATGATTAAAAAACTCAATGTCCAAATCTGCCTTTATTTTGAAAACAAAACATAGTTGAAAAAATATTAACCATTTCTTTAAAAAGTCTGGCAGCATTGCTTGTAGCAGCAATTAGAGGACAGAAAGAGAAAAGCTAGTCCTCTACATTCAAGCCTAGTCCTCGTGAAAAGGGATAGAAGTATGAAGGGAATGTTCCCCTAAGGCCAAAGCTGTCTCCAAAGTTTCTCATATTTGTGTTAAAACTTAAAGTTCTTTGTTTTTCAAAATCAGCTAAAATACAATTTAAAATAGTAGAGCACAGCATTTTCTACTAATGCACATTCCATCCATAACAAATTGAGAAACAATGCTTATGCAGCAACTTAACTTTTTCAGTATCATTGAATTATTTTAAATGGTCTCAGCCATATACTGAGTATCTTGATAATTTAAGATTATCATGGAAGATGATGAATGTTTTAATTTACTTTACAAAGTCACACATTATATAGAAGGTTCTACAATGTGTTAATGGTGGGTTTGGAGTTTGGGAAACCCAACTGTAGTTTTGCCTTGCCACTAGCTAAATTCTATGACCTTGAACAGACAACATGATTTCTGTGAACCTCAATTTCCTTGTCTTTCAAATGAATTAGAAGAGGAACAAATGTCTACTTAAGCTCCATAAGCCTTCAGTATTTACAGTTGAGGTCTGAATAACAAGAACCCATCTCATCCAGCATACGCGAATAGAATTGAGGATTTTAAATCACTTTTATTAGGAGTTAATTATTATACTAAAACATTTTGATGAAAGGTAAAAACAAAAGTTTAGCTCCTAATTTGACATTGTTTTCAAATGTCTCAAATCTTTGTGTGGTCGGTTCAGTTACATGTGTGGAGAAAAAATGTTTCTACAAGCTCTTGGGTTGAATTGGAATAGAAGAGGCAGTGGCTTCTTTTCATTGCTTTAAACAAACACTAGTCATAGATACTTAAATAGATCTCCATGTATGGAAATGCTAAGACTGTATAATATTCACTACTTGATGTACCAGAATCCATGAATACATCCAATTGAAGTATTTTTTATTTCATGATCAAACATGGCTTAAGACAGTTTCCATCTTAGGGGCAGGATGAAATTTTTATGATGAACACCTAAATTTTAGTCAGATTCTCAAACTCAGGATTGGGTGCGTGGCTCAAATAGCAGAGCACCTACCTAGTAACAAGGACTTCAGTTCAAACCCCTGATACTGCCAAAAATAAAAATTAAAAAAGCTTCTTATTAGAGCTTGAATATTAAGTCATTACATACAATGTTTTGTGCTTAAGAAGAAAGCTGAAGATATGGAGGCGGGGCACATATTTGTGTGTTTGTGGAGAGTTACTGTCAATAGATTTGGGAGGGGTCAAATATATGGTTAAAATTGAATCGAGTTGACTCAGGAGGCTGGATGAGTTGTATTGAAGGTTAAAACCAAAGTCAGATTTTAGACGGCTCTTGTTTCAAATTTGTTATGGTGCTTAGACGTGAATTCCTTTTATGCATTTCACAGATCTTGACCGGCCTAGTGAGGAAGTTTTCTCTCGAGATCTTTCAGATTTTCCGTCTGTAGACAATGGCACGGGAACAAATGATGAAGATGAATTAAGTCTTGGCATGCCCACTGAGCTCAAGAGAAAAAAGGAACAGTTGGACAGTGGTCCCATGCCAAGCAAAGAGAGGCAGTCAGCAGCTGGTCTCACCCTTCCTCTGAAGAGTGATCAAGCCTTTAACTTGATGAGCAACCTGGCTGGGGATGTCATTACAGCTGCAGTGACTGCTGCTATCAAAGACCAGTTAGAAGGTACCAGGCAGGCACTTGCTCAGGCTGCTCCTAGCCCAGGAGAGGATACAGACACTGAAGAAGGTGATGACTTTGAACTACTTGACCAGGCAGAGCTGGATCAAATTGAGAGTGAACTGGGACTTACGCAAGACCAGGAAGCAGAAGCACAGCAAAGTAAGAAGTCTTCAGGCTTCCTTTCAAATCTACTTGGAGGTCATTAATCTAGGAATCAGCTTGCAACAGAGAACAGATGAACCACCAAAAAATTTCAGACAAATGAAAAAAAAAAAAAGAAAAAAAATTGGAACTGTAGGCTTTAATGATTACTTTAGATTGTTTTTGTTTTATTTTCCCTTCTGCAGTGAATTGGATATATATCAGCTGACACTGATAGATTGGTATTTCTGATAGTTATTTTTATGTAATAAGCATGGAAATGAACTTTATATATGCATATATACATACTGTGGTGTCAGAAATGAATATTAGGAGTTGTTTTTGAAGCAAAATGAAAAAAACACCAAAATTACTAAGATCCTTCTATAAGTATTATTTTTCTTTATAATTAATTTTCAAGCATGCAAAAGTTTATTGTAACTCATTGAAAAATATTAAGAATTGTGAATACATGCTGTATCAGCTCTTATTCCTAATATTTGGAAATATGATAAAAGTTGATTTCCTAGGAAAAAATTTAAAACTGTATTAAAGCACTATGTGTAGGCTGAAACATTTCCATGTTATTTCTGCAGTTGTAGACATAGGCTTAATTATAAAGTGGCATGTTCCTTTGGATGCCATGTCTGGTCTTGCAGTGGGTGGTATTAACCCATAGAAAGCAAGTAGTTATGTATACATAGACAGTGGTTATTATGTAAACAGAGATCCAGTTGTTCTGTTGTTTATTTTTGTCCTATGTTTGCAATAGGGATGTTGTGAGTGTAGATCTATTCTGCCCACTTAGACTTAAGTTAAACCCTCATTTTTTATATTGTGTCATGGAAAAAGTCTCCTAAAATTGTGAAACTGGCTATTGATATGTCCTAGGAATGATATGGTCAACAGCAATAAAGAAATAACAACTCTATGTTCTTAGTCTGCATCGATAGAGGAGAGGAACTTGCTTGGCTTTAAAGTGTATTTATTTGCCATTAAAGTTTAAATATGTAATGTTTTTTATTGGGAAGCCAGAATATATTTTTCCTTTAAACTTTTTTAGAGCACTTTTAAATAATCAAATTTGACTTACAGTTTTTAACAAAAGATTAAAGAGCAGAAACCAAGATAGGTTTGTTTTTGTAATATAAACTTCTAGTAGTGTTGAGGGACCATGCCAGCAACTACCAAAAATCCCTTAATTTTCAGTTATAGCTGGCATTCTGCAGATTCTGAGACCCTCAGAAAGGAAGGATAATCCAAGAGTATAGGAAATTGATGTTCCTCCTTCAACTTTATCCCTTTTCTTATATTTCTAAAGACTACTGGTAATCTGACATTTTATATAGCATCTCTTATTTATTTTTTCTTTCTGAGGTATTAAAATATCTAGGCTGAATTTGCCAAATGTTGAAGGGAAGAACGTTCCTGAAGACTCTGAGCACTTGCTTTTTGTGACTGACTAAGCTTGTGTCATTAGTGCCTCTGTGTTTCATGTCCTCGATTGATACGGAGAGACTGTTTCTTCATTAGCTTGCCCATTTTGGTACAAATGTAAACTTGTGTTAGAAAATCTTGGAACTATGTAGATTTTAGAAGAATATACCTGAATTCTGTTAAGTAAGTTTCTGGATATGAAGAAAAATACAGTCACATATTTATAAAATAGTCATTTTTTATATGTATGCTTTTTCATTTAAAAATATTCTTGGTCATGAATTAAAAAAATTTAAAGGTCATTTCAATTTCTTCACTGAGGAGAAAACAAGAATTGAAATAACCAAGCAACTAAAGAATATATTGTAAGTTGCTGGACAAACTTACAAAAAGTTTATTATAAGATAAAGTTAAGAGCTAAATCTGATTGTTTGAACAAAATTATAAACTAAGAGTCTGCAGATGGATGGGTGGTAAGGTAAAAAAAAATGGTGATCAGTATGGAGACATACCAGCTCTCTGTGGAGGATAGCATTATAACCACACATGCATTTTAATATCTGCCTAAGAATATGTGATTGCAGATTTACAATAATGATACTCTTCTCAAAACTTAATTTTGTGCTTGTGTCTGGGGAGCATTGTTCCTGATTTTGAGATAAAGTAGCAAATAAACCCTGTGAATGATCCAGTATGATAAGGGATTACATACCCCTTACCAGGATAATTTATAAAAATAGAAATATCTATTCAATATCTTTTAAACACCTAATAAAGAATGGCTTGTAGGTCAGGTGTGGTGGCACATGCCCATAATCTCAACTACTCAGGAGAGAGAAATGGGAGGACTGTGGTCTGAAGCTGGCCAGGGAAGAAGCACAAGACCGTACATGGAAACACACAGCATATGTGATCTAAGCGGAATGCAGTTCATAAAATGGGAACCATGGTTTTCTTAATTATAGAGGAGCTGTAGAAGTTTTATGCATTTCCTTTAAAAGTGCTGAGCAAAATCATCCAAGAGGAATAGCATACATTTATAATGTATTTTGATCTGAACTAACGAAGCAGTGCTCAAGAAGTTGAAGTTTACGTTGGAAGGTTAATCCAAGTTTGTTTTAATAAAAACATGATTTTAGTGTTTTTATTTTAATTTAGATTAATATTTTGTCCAGGGAATCTTCAGACCAGAATCCTCCCTATGGCCAAGCAGCTGGGACCACAGGCAAACACCACCATGCCCAGCTTATTGAGATGGGGTCTCACTAATGTTTTGCTTTGGCTGGCCTTGAATCCAGATCCTCTTGATATCCACCCTCCCCTAAACTAGCTGGGATTGCAGGCATGAACCAGTTTTCCCAGCTCCAGTTGTGTTAGTTGCAAGACAGGAAATTACTGTGAAACCCTTAGTGACCTGCTGCTGTCACAGATCATCTGTATCGTGAAGTTTGAAAGTCTCAGAACTATAGTTTTATGTATTATTCCTCCATTTACACTGCTGTATTTAGGCTAGAAGAAAATGATGGTAATAGGGGCTCTGGTTCTGATGTTAATATTATGGCCCTAAGACACAATGTGAAAGTCATATAACATCTGTAAGTCAAGTTTTCCTAAACATAAAATAGGGAAGTTAACTCTTATCCTCTCGTACAGGGATGTTCTGAGAATGAATGAAAAAAAGTACTTTCAAGGGGAAAAAATCTGCATAAAACCAAGATACTGACTTTTTTTCTTGCCTTCATTTCAACTAAGTCATCATTTTAAATTAAAGGCAATCAACAAGCATTTGCTTACAAGAAAACTCCATAAAGTTCTTTTAATGGGTCTAGCACTATATTGGCTTCATAGTCCAATAAATGCCTGTGGAATAAATGATGGAAAGTGTTGCAAAAATGTCTGTTATTTCAGTTGACTCTGTGGACCATGTGTAAGATTCTACATTAGTCATTTTTAATGGTTCTAACACTACTGGCTGTGGTCTCTGGGAAGGTCTCCTAACAACTCTGTATCTTTTTCCCTCACTACAAAATAAAGATGAAACAGCATCTACCTCATAGGGTGTTGCAAGGATTAAGTGTGTTTAGGCTGGGGTTGGAAACTATGGTGGTAGGCCAAGTCCAGGGTGCTACCTGTTTTTGTATGGGCTACAAGTTAAGAGTGATTTTATATTTTAAAATAATTTTCAAAATATCAGAAGACTTTGTGACATGAAAAATCTATGAAAACTTTAGTATCCATAAATAAAGATTTATTAGAACACAGCCATATTCATACTTTTATATATTATGGCTCCTTTTATACCGTGATAGCAAACTTGAAAAGCTTCAATAAAAATTAAATGGGCCCAGTGCCTCTCAACACTATTACAGAGGACCAAGCTTCTAGCAGATAAGCCTTGAAGGGACAAACCATGTCCAAACAGTATTAATTGGAATTCAGAGCATTTGGATGAAGAACGGCAAAGAAATTGTACAAGGTCACATTGCTACTAATGGGGAAAATCAGCCTGACACCCAAGACTATTCTTTCTAGTTCATTGGAAAATTAATATGCCCCTTTGAAGAGTAAAAAGCAAAGAATCTACAGAGAGTTCAAAGATGCTGAAATAGCAGGATAATGAAAATGGACTGGAGGATGCTGGGAGGAAATAGTGACCTGAAGACCAGATGCTAGAAGAATCATATAAGAGTAATAAACAGGAAAAAGGAAAACCAGAGGGTCTTTATTTTATATTACTATTGTTTTGCTTATTCCAGATGATGACTAGCTACCTTTGTTAAATTGGGTATCTGTCCAGAAAGCTCAGCTATTTCAAAAGATTTGATAATTTTGAAATCAAGTTTTCTGGAATAAAACTTTTGCACTACAAAATTGCTCATCCATTCATAAGGGTGGAGCCCCATGATCTAATTACCTAACTGGTGGCACTGTTCTAGTGTTGGGATATAGAGCAATGAAAGGAGGGTTTGCTTTCATGGATGCACATTAACAGGTTGTATGACTAACCATTCTGATTTGTCCAAAATTGCAGGGTTTCCTAGGATGCATGACTTCTGATGTTAAAACTGAAAAGTCAGTGATAACAAGTGCTAGTGGTATCCAATCACCAAAGACCATTTAGCCTCATTTCCCTTCATGCCCTTATGTAGTCCCTTCACATGGATCGGCAGAAGGACACACTGTGGAAGTAAGTGCCTTCAAGGCTCAGTAATAAGGCACTGTGGCTCTACTCTGCTTTAAGGGAAGCCAAATGCCATCTTATGAAGACACTATAGCAACTCTATGGAGATCTACTTAGCACAGAACCAGAACTTCTTGCTATCAACTATGTAAATGAGCCTTTTTTTTTCTTTTGGTAGTACTGGGGTTTTGAACTCAGGGCCTCATGCCTGCTGGACAGGCCCTCTACCACTTGAGCCACATCTCCAGGGCCTTGGGTCTCATGTTTTTTCCTAGGCCAGCCTATGGCCATGAGCTTCCTAACTGTGGCCTCTGCAATAACCTGAATTACAGATGGGTACCATCATACTCAGTTTATTTGTTGAGATGGGACACTCACTAACTTCTGCCCAATATCCACCTCCTGAATAGCTGGGAAAACAGGCAAGGACCACCTCAAACTGGCCCTTAAGTAAGCTGTTTTTGATGCACCTCCACCGTGGTCAAATACTCAAACCTGTAAGTGACATCAGTCCTGGCCTCATGTTCACCACAACCTCATGAAATTGAGTCAGAACCACCAGCTAAGTCATTCAAATGCCTGACTTACAGAAACTGAAAGTCTGACACTTAATTCAACAGAGTAACAGATAACTAAACGGTGTTATAAAGTTATGCCTGCTAAGGACTTAAAAAATTTGGGTTGGGCACTACTATTGACAAGCAGAGGTGGATAAGCCTCTTGTAAAGGCATTTGGGCAGAGGTCTAAAAAGTAAGCAAGTCAGTAAAAAAATATCCAGACAGAAGAATACAGGATTTCTAAGACAATACCAAAAAAAGTGTTTGCCTAGCCTTGTTAGAACATGGAAAGCTTCACTGACTGAAATAGAGGGTGAGCAAGGTGGAGAAGGGGATGTGAAAGATCAGTGGTGGCAGATCCTGGAGGGCCTCCTAGAATGCAAAGAAAGGTGTTGGAATTTTATTCTAAGGGCAGGGTATCCACTAAGGGTCTTATGCCAAATGCAGCACGACCTGACCTGTATTATTATTATTATTTTTTTAAAGTATCTCCTGGCAGCTCAGATTGGGAAGTGCAATGTTCATTTCTTTAACAAAGCTGACTGGCTGGGCCAGGTTGTGCAGACCAATCTGAACTCCCCTATGCCTTTGAAATTCATGGTTTCCTATAAAACTGAGTTGGAGCACACGAAATGGGGCAGGTCCAAATTGAGATGTTCTAAGATGTAGTACTTTTTGGAAAAGAATGCAAAATATCCCATGAGTTCTTTTCGATTCCATGTTGAAGTGACACTTGGGAGTTTTGGGGTTAAATGAAGAATATCATTAAAAGCAATTTCACCTATTTTTCACTCTTTCGTAATGTATCTACTATTAGGATTTAAGAATGCAGTGTGGCTGGGGTTGTATTTCTATCGGACAGCGGCCGGCTGTGCTTTTGGCCCCGAGAGGCAAACATCATCCAAGAGTTCGGGGGAGCGTCCTCGCTGCGGTGTCTCGCGCACCAAGCCGGCCGGTGGTGACAGTTCGGGAAGCCCTAGCTGTCGTGACACTCGTTCACCTGGCTTCGGGGCCGCAGCACGGTCCTCAGGGAACCCACCTCAGGTCGCCGACGGGTTCAATCCCCGGAAACTTCCCGGGGCCGGAAGCAGCCCCCAGCGCCCCACTTCCCCCTCTGGCGCAGCGGTGGCTTTAATGGCGTCACACCACACGGCCCAACCGCGAAGGAAAAGCGCCTCGCTGTCTTACCTGGACCTGGACAGAGCACCGACTTTTCGCACCTTCCGGGGCGTGGCCACAGAATAAGGGCGTAACTTCCGGTCCAGATGGGAATATCTTCCGGCGTGTCCCGGAAGCTCCCTCATCAGAATCCGGAAGTCACAGCTTAGTGTCGTGGTTTGTGGCTGGCCAGGCGAGTTCAGGTGTTCGTGTTACTAGAACGCTGATCACCAGATTCTTGATTCGGTTGCCTCTTATTTCTCGCCTGGAAATGGCGACTTACACCTGTATCACCTGTCGCGTGGCGTTCCGCGATGCGGAGATGCAGCGCGCCCACTACAAGACCGACTGGCACCGCTACAACCTGCGGCGAAAAGTGGCCAACATGGCCCCAGTTACGGCCGAAGGCTTCCAGGAGCGAGTGCGGGCGCAGCGGGCCGTGGCAGAGGAGGAGAGCAAGGGCACGGCCACCTACTGCACCGTCTGCAGTAAGAAGTTTGCATCTTTCAATGCCTATGAGAACCATCTCAAGTCCCGGCGGCACGTGGAGCTGGAGAAGAAGGCGGTGCAGGCAGTGAATCGCAAAGTGGAAATGATGAACGAGAAGAACTTGGAGAAAGGACTGGGCGTGGACAGTGTGGACAAGGATGCCATGAACGCGGCCATCCAGCAGGCCATCAAGGCTCAGCCGTCCACATCCCCCAAGAAAGCGCCCATAGAGGGGTCCTCGAGCGCCGTGGCGGTGGCTGCTGGGGGACGGGGGGCTCACGACCGAGACCCGGCCGAGAAGCCGCCCCGGCTCCAGTGGTTTGAACAGCAGGCGAGGAAGTTGGCCAAGCAGCAGGGGGAGGAGAGCGAGGAGGAGGAGGACCTGGACGGAGACGGTAAAGCCAGTCTGAGGGGTGAAGGGAGAGAGAGAGTTTTTGTTGTTTGCGGAACTGGGGGGTAGGGGCCAAGGCCTCATGCGTACTTTGGCAGTGTTTAATTATTGAGTCTTTTAAAATCTTCTCTTTTCTATTTTGAGACAGGGTCTTAGGCTGTCTAGGAGGATCTTGTGATCGTCCTGTCTCAGCCTCCCTCCAAGTAGCTGGGATTATGGGCTGAGCTACCACGCCCAGTTAAGTGTCAACTTCTAAGTGGAAGTGATGAGTGATGGTGGTTTAGATGCTTTCTGAAGTAACCTCTGGCCAGCATCTCCACAGGGAATTTTGTCTGCTTGGTTCTCTGTTGTAGATTTAAGGCTACCTGGAAGAAGTATAGGCACTTAATAAATGTTTCTAGGGTGAATTTGTGCCTCTTCTATTTTGGATGAGGAAGTTTTAAACCTGTGCATAGAAAGACATGCTTCTTGGCACACTATCAGCTGTACAATTTAGTGGGCTTCCTGTTTTGATGGTTTTGCATTTAATTTGGTTGATTAAAACTGAATGAGGAGCTCAAAATCAGCTAGCAAACCTGAAATGTGGAGCTTGAGCCAGCAATCTAGCTTCTTTGTCTTTATGAGGTATTCGTTCTTTTTCTCATCCCATGTCTTGTTAATACTGATGATGTATGTGTTCTAACAGATTCAGTGTCTGATAAGGGCCTGTTCCATAGAGGATATTGCTTGTGATTTGCTTTCATGGTGGGAAAGGCAGAAGGAACAAGGCTTCGTCCTCACATGGAGTAGGAGTTAAAGGCAAACAAGGGCTAGCTAGTTCCTTTATACTCTTAATCCTTTCATGAGGTCTATGCCCTAATCACAGCCTAGAGACCCCACCTGTTAATAATATCTCATTGGTGATTACATTGCAATATGAAAGGGCACATACGTTCAAAGTATAGTAGTTCATGAAGCACCCTACCACCACAAGTATTCTTGTGAAATGTGGACTTTATTAAGGCAGCTTATAAAGTATTTATCCAGATACAGGACCCTTGTCCAGTACTGGCCTAGGTGCTGTGTGGCACAGCAAGAAACACAAGACTATTTCAAGGAGTTTTCTGCATCCTGGAAAAAGAAAGATTCAGTTTCATAGCAATACAGACTTGTCTGTGAAAGGATTATAATTGGCATCTGTCTCCCAAATATAGGACTTAAGCACTTATATGAATCATTGTAATGTCTTAAATTAATTTTGTGTTTTGAAATTCTGGCTTGAAGATTGGGAAGATATTGATTCTGATGAAGAAATGGAATGTGAGGATACCGAAGTGATGGACGACATAGAGGAGGAAGAGACTGGGGAAGTTCCACCTCTTGGTGCCATCCCAATAACAGACTGCTTGTTTTGTCCCCATCATTCAAGCTCCCTCATGAAGAATGTGGCTCATATGACTAAAATCCACAGCTTCTTTATTCCTGACATAGAATATCTTTCAGACCTTAAGGGACTGATTAAATATTTGGGTAAGTATAGTGGTTTGCTTTTTAATGGGGCATACCGTGTTATTTGTGGTCAAGGAATATTAATTTTGTGCTTCTCCTCAATCTTTGATTTAACTACTTGCTTATTTTCTGAAAATCATAAACTTGATGAATGTTTTTTGAGTTGTGGAGATAAATGGCGAAATTTAATACGGCTTCAAAAAACTCCTTTCATATTTTTTCCTCAAATTATTTTACCAGGAGAGAAAGTTGGTGTTGGCAAGATTTGCTTGTGGTGCAATGAGAAAGGGAAATCATTCTACTCCACAGAAGCTGTGCAGGCACATATGAATGACAAAAGCCACTGTAAGCTCTTCACAGATGGTGATGCTGCTTTGGAATTTGCAGACTTCTATGATTTTAGGTAAGTCAGGGATTGGTAATGTGAAGTGAATTGAGGTCATCATAGTTGCATTGAAGTGACTTTACACACTGTTTTCAATAATCCTTTTAACAGCTCTTTGTGAGCCAAGGAACTGTTTTATAGAGTTTAACGCATGTAGGAAAGAGAAGATCTTCGGCCCAAACTGAAGTTTGTCTGACTTGTTTTTGTTCCTTGTGGTTAAATGGTCAGAAATTCAGTTTTGCCAATTACCTTGTGAATAGAAGTATGAAAGTTAGGTTTCATGTTTTGGGTCCTCTGAGAGACTGTGAGTCACAAGCTGTTGTCTGAGAGAATGGAGATGATTGCTAAGCAGGATCATACCCTGGCAGTTGATGGTTAGATTCTCCCATCAATAGTTCAGCTCTTAACTGGTTTTTTGTTTTTTTTTTTTCCAATTTCCTTTATTCATATGTGCATACAGTGATTGGGTCATTACTCCTCCCCCCCCCCCCCGCCCCCTCCCTTTCCCTCCACCCCCTCCCTCCCACCCCCACCCTCTCGCTTCCAAGCACTGTTTTGCCCTTATCTCTAATTTTGTTGAAGAGAGTTAACTGGAATCTTGAATGATCTGTACATTATGCAACAAACATGTTAGATGTTTGTGAATAATTTGTTCCTGTTGTCAAAATTCCTATGATGTAGCATAGGAGATGAGCTATGTGTATGTGTGATTATCATGCCAAGCATGCATAAACTAAGAGATACAGATGTTCAGAAAAGTTTTAATTTTTTTGCATTTTTTTTCCCTGATTTTTCATCTTGCAGTTGAGTACTTGGTGGTTGGTGGGCATAACTAGGAGATTAGAGGTGGTGGCAGTGGACAGAATGGATTGAGTTTCTGGCTGGAGATGAAAAGTATCCTTCTGCCAATAGGTAGTATTAGTCTTTACCGAGTTTCCTGTCAGATAGCAGTGTGCATGACCTTTTGATTGATGTTCTAATCGGAGTGGTCAAAACAAATACCATTGATTGAGTCAAGCAAGAGTCTACAATCAGTAGCTGGCTTGGTCTAACTGCTTATAGCCTGTAGCATCTTGTGTATTCTGACCCAGCTAGGGTTGGCATTTTCTATTTCTTGCTCTTTGGTTTCCTCATTAAGTGTGTTTCTAAGGATCTTTGAACTTCCTATTGTCTTTGCCTATAACCTTTGCTCAGATACTCTATGACTTGCCTCCTCACTTCCTGCAGGGTTTGGCATAAATTTCACCTTCCCATTGTGGCCTTCTGCAACCACTTTTGTGAAATAGCACCAACCTATTGCTTTTTATACTTTCATTTGTCCTCATATCCCTTACTGCCTTTTCATATGTTATTGTTCCTAGAATTGATAAGTAGGTACTTTTGTTGTTGTTGTTCTTGTTTACTTAGGGCTGCTCAGATTATTAGTTTGAAGGAAAAGCTTATAATTGATGTAAATGATTCAGGAAGTGACTTTCCCTTTGTCCAAATGATGCTTTTTTGAACTTCATTTACAGTTAGTCTGTTGGCTCCTAACGAGAAGTGGTATGTATGTTTTTTTTTTCTTCTTTTATTCATATTGTATGTTTTATAAAAATGAATATCGAATGATTTAATGGCCTTAAAAAAGCAAAAGTTGATAATGCTTAATGAGGAAAGCAGAAAACCCTCACAAACAAAACCAGCATTTATTGACTGCTTATTGCCTGCCTGATACTGTTCTAATAAGCACTTTATGTAGATTGATTCAGATAAAAAATGGACAAGTGATCTGTAATTTTATTTATGCTCACAAAATAATAAAGGTTAGCTTATTTTGGACTTAATTTTTTTATTGAAGAGTAAATTTACAGAAAGGTGCATATATGTATATGTATAATTCCATAATTAAGTCTGGTGTAATTTTAATTGTAACAAATATCCACATAGAGAAATAGAACATTAATAATATCCTGACACTTCCTGTGTGGGTATTTCTGTGAATTATCCCTTTCATCTCTAAGATTAACTACTGTTCTGACTTAAAACTGTGCATAGATTGTTTTTTCCAGACTATGGTATTTCTTTTTACAAGTGGAAATGAAAAAAATGTACTTATTTGGATCTGGCTTCTTTTGCTCAACTTTACATATTTGATACTCATTCATACTGTTTTATTTATTTTTATTTATTTATTTATTTTTATTCATATGTGCATACAATGTTTGGGTCATTTCATACTGTTTTATTTAGTTTCATTGTTGTAGAGTATTAATGTTGAATGTTTCACAGTAGCTTTTGTACTATTGATGCACATTTGAGTGGTTTCCAGTATTGAACTATAGAAATAGTGCTGCTCCATCTTTCTAGTATCTTTTGGTAAACATGCATATTATCTGTTGTGTATGTGTTTAGAAGTTGGGTCAGAGGATATACAGTAGACCCTTTATGTCTGTGAGGAAAAACAGTGAATATCCAGATGCAGAGTTCAGTACTATTAATAATATTGCTCAAATTTATCTATAGGATACATATAGTAGATCTGAGCATCCACACATAACTTGAAACTGCATGGAATAGGCTATGTTAACTGTCACAGAAATTGCTGATGTACACATTAATACTACTCACCAAAAACTAGATCTTACTTCAGGCTCTTTATTTTGGATACTAGGACTCTTGATTCACTTTTCCATAGTGCTGGCCAACTTGGGCTAAAGACATGCTGCCTTTTGACAACAGGGCAGCACTGTTCTAGTGCTTGTTTTTATGATGGTTAATTTGACTAGATCTGCACGTCCACTCTGTGTTCTTTTCCCTCTGCACTTGATAATCTTTCTAGAGCTAAATAGGAAACAAAATTGTTATGAGTTATTTGCTCATTTTTATTACAGAGGAAATGTTAATAAGTTGGTTTTTTCACCGAGCCTTTCAACTGGCTGTTCTTATAGCTGTTTTAGGTAGCTAGTGGTTTACCACATGTGCAGTTGCAATTCATATCTTTCAATTAAGTTTGAGGTAATCTGTTAATGCCATCTCACTGTTAACAGGAGTAGCTACCCAGATCACAAGGTAGGAGAGGAACCTGATGAGACAGAGGAGTTGCCCTCAGATAAGAGCTTGGAATATGATGATGAAACTATGGAGCTGATTCTGCCTTCTGGTAAGTGCATTTGTCAGAAATAATAGGTTAATGCCAGTTGATTGTGGAAGAGGAACGTCACCATTTTGTGGAAATGATTGTGGAAGAGGAACATCCTGCCTACTGAGGGAAATAGAACATCAAACCTCATGCGCATATTTATAACATGCAACTCTGAAGATTGCCACTTAGCGCTAAGTTAACTGTTTTACTTAAGTTGGAGCAATGTTTTTGTTCATTTCTCATCTGATTCAGAATGTTTTGATTAGGCATTTCTTTAAAAATAGGTGGACCTTTTCCCTTCATTTCTTTATCTTGTTTGTTTGCTTTTTGATTCTGTCTAGTTTTTTCTGGTTAATCTTGACTTTACTCTCATTCTTGGAACTGATTCCTTATGTTGCTCAGGCTTCCAAATAATCTGGCATGTGCAACTCTGGCTGACAGTGCTAGGTTACTGGTCTGCGTTCTAGATGTAGGGAAGGCTTGAACTTTGAATTTTGCCTTCTCTGGGGAATAGGACTCACTGTGGGAACTTACATAGGTATAAGATGAAGAATAGCCATGAATATGATAAGTATCCCCTGTTGTTTATTGTGTGGGAAGAAAAGTGCTGTGATTAGCTGGTAAGAATGCGGCAGTTACAGAGTGAACAGTATGGATTGAAGGGAAAGGGAACAGTAGAAATGATAATAAAATCTTAATACCTGGTGTTTACTGAGCGATTAGCATAGTCAGGCTTTACAACAAGCCCGTGAATTAGATTCTGTCATCCTCATTTGACATTCAAAGCTTTGAGAGGTCGAGTAACTTATCCAAGATCACATACTTGGCCTCCTTTCCACTCCCTGCACTGCCTGGGGAGACGGGAGTAGACAGGAGTGGCACAGGCTGCCAGTGGAGGTATCTGTGATGAAGAATCTACCGTGTATTACTGCTTTCTGCGTAGGTGTCACTGCTTGGGTACAGACAACCATTTTAACTAAGAACAGTAACCTTTTAAGGCGAAGGGCAGCTTTAGGCTATGACTAGAAGGGAAGGGTAGGCAGAATCTGACTTGAAGATATAACTCTACCTATAGTAATAAGGAAGTATATTACACTATAATATTGTAGCCTACACAATAGATAATGGTAAAAGCCTGATTGTAATCACAGAAAACCTCTTTTCATTTTTCTCCTATAGAAGTACTGATATAGAACATAAAACTACAGTCAGCCCTGTTTCAATGTACACTTTTTTCCTTGTCATTCCTGAAACAGTAACACTATAACAACTTTTTATTTAGCATTTGCTTTATGCTGAGTATTAAAGTAATCTCAAGGTGATATAAATATACAGGAGGATACATGTAGGTTATATGCATATACTGTACCATTTTATATAAGGGACTTGAGTGTCCTTTGGTATCTGAAGGGAGTTCCAGAGACAGTCCCCTACAGATACTGGGGGACAACAGTGTGTTTAATAAACTTTCCAAGCCTGTATGTTTAGCCTTTTGTCTCGCTGACTTCCACGTAACTATAGAATAAGTTAACAATAGAACTTAAGCAAATTGTATAAGATAATCCTTGCGAGGCAGTGTCTGACATAGAGTGGGATTAGTGTAATGTTTACTTCATTTTGCATCTACCTTAGTGCATTATATTGCACAAAAGGTCACAGCAACAAGCATATCCTACTTAAGAAATACAGTATATTTGAGAGAGGTTTGCATTTAGAATTTAAATTTTTGAAGCTTAAAATTAGTAAGGACTCTCCAGCTATGTTGAAAACATGTGGGTGATTGCATTTCCTAAGGTTAACCAAAGTCCAAAAAGGATTATCTTTTTAAGACCCCCCCTTTTCTTCTCCTCAGCATCTTTTGGATATTTTTTCTTAGTTTTCTCTTTATCCATTTGTGTTACCGATACAGTTTCCTGTCTGACCATCTCCAGTCTAGTTTCCATGCAACCACCAGAACATTCTTTCTCTCTAGAGGTCCCACAGTGGAAGCCATTGCCTGCAGGGTAACTTTGAGTTTCTCTAGCATTTCATCTCTCAGGTGCCTTGTACCATTCCTTGAAACAACCCTTCCCACCCCCAGTTTCCTCCCCTGTGTCTTTGCATGTGTGGTGCCTCTCTTACCTCCATCCTCCATATAACTCATCTTGGGTTCACTTCCTAGGGAGTCTTCCTGAGCCTCTCCTGTCCATTTACTGGGTGAGGAGTCTCCTGCTTTCAGGACACTTGGATATCTGTCATAACATTCACTTCACTCCTTTGTAATTGTTGGCTTGCTTGCATGTTTCCCCCATTGTGGCATTTTGATACATGCATACAATGTGTAATGATCCAATCAGGGTAACTGTATCTATCACCTCAGACATACATCATTTCTTTGTGTTGAGAACATTAAAATCTCTCTTAGCTGTTTTGAAATAATCATCAACTATAGGATCCTATGGTATTACATGATATTAGAAGTTATTCTTCCTATCCAAAACCCCCATTACCTTTGAGAACAAAGACTGCTCTGGTTCTTTCACATCATTACAGGGTCACAGACTGCCAAGAACCAGATAAATGTTTGCTGACTAAGAGGGTGGAGGCACCTTTTATAAGGAAGGTTAGTTCTCCTGAGCATACAGTAATAAAGGAAAAGGCAAGCAGAGAGAGCTTGCTGGCTTAGAATTTTATTTGTCTGCATTACCTTCTAAGTCTGTGCAGAAGATTATTTAGCTTCTATATCATCTAGTCAAAGGAGAAGGTGGCTAAGATTAGCTGGAAGGCTCATTTTTTCTAGTTTTGAAATCCTGGGTTTCCTTGCTCATCGCTGTGAGTCTAATTACTAGTCATGTTATTCTAAAACATTGGTTAGTAACAGACAGCAGGACTGCTCTTTGACACAGACTTGGAGTAGTAAAGTAATTGCTTTGGTATTAGGGTACTGCAGATACCATACTTTTAAACAGACGGACTCAGGAAAGACTTAACCAGCAGCCAGAAACTGAACCCCAGGGGTTCTTAACTATGCCGTGCACATTTTTATTTATTATTTTTTGTGGGCATGTGCATTTTTTCTGGGAAAAGGCTATAGCTTATTGAAAGCATCTGTGATCTGGAGAAGATTGAAAGCCTCTGACAAAAATACCCAAATAAAAATCACAGTTAGGACAGATGATTGAGACCTTAGGATAGGTTTTGGTTAAATGCCAAAAAAAACACCAGATTTCTAAGTCAATCAGAAACCACCAGTATTCTGAAATTTGTTCCATCTAGACTCACAAAGTGTTTTTAATGTTGCCTGTATTTTCACTATCTCAGATTTTAAAAATCTGAGCTTTAGTCAGCTATGTTTATGATGAGGCATGACCCTCTGTCACTTTGCCCTGCTGCCTCACTACTGGTTTGGGGGCTTTTGTAACAACTCAAGAAAACAGGGCATAAAAATGTAGCAGGAGTGTGTTTGATTAGCTGTTTATCTCTTTGAACAAATTTCCCGTTCAGAAACCTCTTTGAATATGTTCGTTTGTATGACTGAGTTAGCATAGATGTTAGCTTGAAGCCAATTTAGAAAGAATTCTAATGTGTAGAGTTTTAAGATATTTATTCAACTGCACTTAAAAGAGCCTGCTATAAACTGTTTTTTAAAAAATTGTGATGTCATAATTTAGTCACTCAGATTGTCCTTCAGTAAAATCAGATTATCCCAAAGCCAGTGACAAAAAGCATCCAGTAGAGGGCACTATGATTCCATTTGAGATTGTGGCCTTACTCAGTTCCCTACATTTCCCTTCATTGCTCTTCAGTTCATATGGAGGAAGATGTGTGAAAGGCACATTCATTTAGCTGCTGACCAGCAAGGTGAAACTGCTGTTAGTTCCATGGGAAATACATAATTAATCTTCTTAGGAAAATTATAAGTAGAGATATTTTCTTTTCTAGTATCTGGTGTCATCAATTGCATGGTCTTTGGTAAGCAGTAATGTACAGTTTTATAAACACTTACTATATGTAAAAGTTAGATGAATAGGTTGTATGCTTCCCCACAGCGCTGACATAACCAGTCTGTTTTTGCTGGGCAGACATACTGTGTTCTAGTTATATTTTCCCTTGATAAGGGCCTTCAGGTTCAGCTGTGTAAGAATAGACATAAATTTATTTATTATATGTGAATTGTCCAGGTTATCACTTACTGATTTGGAGATAATCATTGCAACTGAGAGTAGCCTGACCTAACATTGTAAGTAGAAAATCACAGTGAATAGTGTTGGGGTTTCCCCTAAGGCCTTCATTCAAGCTTGAGTCTTTTTTCTATCAGCTTCATCTCAGTTATTTTTTGTGGTCAGTTTGTTAACTGTTATGCTTCAGAACAGTCAAGTTGAAGGAAACTCATTTTCATCCATACTGACATCCAAATACCATGTCTGAATTTGAAGGTTCTTTTTGTTATCGCTTGAGATAAACAATCAACTGAAAGTAACTAACTACCTTACTATGTAGCAAGCAAGTAATTTTCAGGTGTTTTGCCACATATAGGGACTTAAAATGACCTGATAGCATTTTCTTCATTCAAATTAAAGGTTTTAAAAGCAAATACAGCCTTCCACAGCATTTGTAATACCCTGTTCGTGGTTTGCTTGGGTTTTTTGTTGTTTTTTTGTTTTGTTTTTATACATAAGGTTCTGAAAGGAATGGTTTTATGATATGCAAATATAAAAGTTTCTTAGAAACTGTATGCAGGGTTCTATCCAGCCATATTTTCTTTATTCATTTTCAGTGGCAGTGACTTCAGGTGTTGTATATATTCTGCTAAGTATCTACATGTTTATTTTGGCCTGGGAAGATGTAATTGCTTATATCCTAATTAATATTCTTGTGAAAACAGCTCATATTGAGTAAGCGCCTCAGGTGATCTTGATGCCACTGGCTTGGGGACTACCTTTTCAGAGCCACTGCTCTGATGGAGGCTGAAGTTAGCCATCCCTAAAGTCTGCTCTTTTCAGCTTTTTCTGAAGGGCATTTTCCTGCAAGGGGCCAGAGAGGCAATAGTTTAGCTTAGGTTTTGTTCATGCTTCTGTCTCTGCAGCAGCTACTCAACTCTGCTTTGTAGCACGAAAGCAGTTAGAGATGTGGCTGTATTCCAGAAAAACTTATAAATGTGTTGGTTGGTTGGATTTGGTCCTCTGACTGAATTTTGCCACTTCCTTGATTACTACAGCAGATATGCCTTGAATTATTCTGGTAAATATCTTTACTTATCTTAGGTGTTTTTTAGCCCAGCTTACAGATGTTCCAAAGCTTTTGATGGCTAGTTCTTTTGTTTCTTTTATCTGAAATATATAGGGTCTCTTTTCTTTTTTTCTCAGTGTACTACAATTGATAATAAGCCTATGAGTTGCATATACATTATAATGACATCAAAATATATTGGAAGTTAAAATTAGAAATTTGTACCTATCAGTGGTGGCTTATGCCTATAATCCCTTCATTTAGGAGGTTGAGACAGGAGAATCTCAAGTTTGAGGCCAGCTGAGGTACATAGGGAGATTGTCTCAAAACAAATAAAAATTAAAAATTAATTTCTGACAGTGTGATTGACTGTTTTACCAGATATTTTCAGGTGAGCAAAAACCATAGAGAGAATTCAGTTTAATCATCTATTTAAAGTTCACCAGGTGATTTCCATCATTTAGGAAGCAGCTGGGGAGGAGGATGTTACTCAGCCTTGGCCCTATTGATAATTTGTTGTTTGGGGTCTGTCCTGTGCATTTGAAGATGTTTTATAGTATCTCTGGTCTCTAGCCACTAGATGCCAGTAGTACTCTAGTTGTAATGACCCAAAATGTCTCCAGTGAGTGCCAAATGTCCCCTGTGGGGTAAAAATCATCCCTGTTGGAGAATCACTCCAGTAAAGAATTTAAGCAAAGGAAAGGTGGATTGATTTCCATTCTAGACCCTAACTGTGGCTTATAGATCTAAATATTAGGACTGTCCTCTGCTTAATCATCTTTCTGTTAAAAGAGTCTAATAAATTCCCTTATCTCCTGGGAGATTTCTTGGGAGGCATATTGTATGTAAAAACAAGAGGCTGAGTTTTCACTAACAGTGACTTACTGTATCTCCTCTTTTAAATATCATTTGCTACCTCTTTGTTTTACACTTTTTAAAAATGCTGATTCATCTTTCCTTAGTAGATAAAACATTGTGTCTTCTGACCTGTCCATCTTTCTGCTAGATGCTGTTCAAGGTCTGATTTGGAAAGACCTTGAAAGAACTATTCAACTCAGTGTTTATATATTATTCTTTGGAAAAACAGGTGCCAGAGTGGGTCATCGCTCCTTAATGAGGTACTACAAACAGCGATTTGGCTTGTCAAGAGCTGTGGCAGTTGCTAAAAATCAAAAGGCCGTCGGCAGGGTACTCCAGCAGTACAGAGCCCTGGGGTGGACCGGCAGCACAGGTACATTGATGTTTATACCTATGGACCAGCTCCATCATGTACTCCTAAAGAGGGTTGGGTGATGCTTCCATTTATATTGTCTATGGATCCTCTCAGGGAGGCCTAACCGCCAAGCTCTGGGGGTTTCTCTTACTTCTTGATGCATTTGTGGCAATAAGCCTAAGGCTCATGGCTTAAAAACTGCATGTTCTTGACATAGCAGTTTCATATACACCATGAACTTGTTGAGAAGACAATAGTTGTAAAAAGAATTACTTAGTAATCACAATGCATGCGTACATAGTGCATGCTCATAGTAAAGATTAGTTGTCAGTTCCTTTTTGCAATTTTTTCTGTAGAAAACTGGTAAGGTTCAGATGAGTACTGCTGTCCACTGAAATTATTAGCTTTGAAACCTCATCAGTGTGATATTACTTAAAGCTGTTTTGAAGTGTGTTCTATATAAAGCTGGTTATCCTGAGGTCTTCAGGAAAAGCATCAATCCAGCTGGGGGAAGGTGGAGAGGATAAGAGGAAAGCTGCTTTCTGATGGATTAGAAAGCTCTGAGTGCCTAAAATCCACATTGAATGCCTGTTTATACGCACATGGCTTCCTTTCTGCAGATGCTTGTGAGCTATGAGGCTGCTTGACTCTTCAGAGACTGACTTCACCTTACTCTTGTCACAAATTACTGTCTGACTCCATTTATAGTTTCTGCCTTTGTCATTTTAGATCAGTGGGGCTGATAGTCCCTTGAAGATGATGAAATTTAAGATGCTTACCCACAGAAATGTAGCATTGTAGAATTGTAGCTCTACAGTACAATTTTAGGGTGCACCGTAGATCCCTGAGGTTCATTGCTTAGAAACTGCAAGTTAGCATCTCTTTAATATAAGATCCCACTTGTTCCAAACCAACCTTGGGATTCTTTGGGAAGACTAGGGTTTCTCTGACCACAATAACAAACCTTTGCCTCATTTCTCAACTTCCTTCCAACCATAGGAGCTGCTCTTGTGCGAGAGCGAGATATGCAATATGTCCAAAGGATGAAAGCAAAATGGATGTTGAAGACAGGAATGAAGAGCAATGCCACCAAGCAGATGCACTATAGGGCCCAAGTGAGATTCTGAAGGCCTGCAGGATTGAGTAGTGCATCTGCTCCAGTTTCTTTTCCACCTGAAGAGCAATGGAAGCTGGATTGAGGAATATGCCCTTTTGCTGCTACTTTGGTTTGTTCTGACCTAATTAAAAAAAAGTCAAAATCATACTGGTCTTCAAATGTCGTTTTGAAAAGAGTTTAAAGCTTATGTTTAAGTGTAGGCGTGTTTGCTGGACTGTGGGACCTGCACCATTGCCTGGAAGTTGCAGCTTTCAAATGCTTTCTTGCTGTCAACATAATGTGGGAGACAGTGAGTGATTTGTCTGCTCCAAAATTAGTTTAACTATTAGATTAACACACTATGTCATGACGCTGGGACCTACGTGACAGGGTTTTGAGGCTTATGTAGGAGCAAAATTTAATGTCACTCACTGAATGTGTTATGGTGCAGGAGGTGGTACATGTCTCTGGCCACTTTCATTAAAGCTAAGCATAGGTAAAGAGTATGTTAATAGCTTCCTGTAAAAGTTTTTTGTTTCTTTTAAATGTAAACACATGAAGAATGACAGTGCCAGGCACTCAGACAGTTTTTAGTGCTGCTTTTACTTGAGCAGTTAACTTAAGAGAAGAATGAAGGTGAAATGCTTAGATATTTTAGAAAGAAAGATTACCTCACAGTTAAGTTTCTGATGAGATTCTCAGATAGTTAGGGCAAGGCACTGAAAATGAAGCTAAACATGAAGTTCATATCTGTTAGGCTATCTTTGTGATTTAGAAAAGTGACCTGATTTTTTAAATCTGTAAAGTGCAGGAGCTTATTATTTCACAGGCTGTTCTGGGGGCTAAATAAACCTACCAAAGGACCCATCACTTACTGAGTCTTTAGCACTAAAATAGTACTTAAAGCTCTCCCTTACAAAGCAAACAGATGCCACACGGAGGCCAATGTTCTAGTCAACACACTTCTCTGGGAGTGAGTTAAAGATGCCAGGAGGGTGCAGTTGCCCCGACTGGGTGTTAACGAGAGCCTCCGTTCCCCAGAGTTGATTTTCTTCTTTCAATGTTGAGTGTAGAGTTGAATTAATTATATGTACCTTACTACACAGGGTCACCAAAAACAGGGCCCACTGGTTTGAAATTTGCTCCTTCATCCTCTTTTCTAACAATTCTTCCCACAGTAGTATCCAGTCTCATGACACATTTTTTTAATCTATATTTCAGGAGAGTGCTTTTTGTATGTTGTATGTTTTTAATTCATATTTAATCAAGTGTGCATGATACCGGTTATAGCTCTTCTCAGTTTTGCTTTTCATTCAACACTTAATGTAGTGGCGTGTCTAGTTGTTTGCTTCTGACTGCTGCCTGGTGTTGGGTAATGCATATCTACTGCACTGTACTTGTCTGTTGGTCTGACGACTTGGTTGTCTCCAATTCACATTACCACTTCAGCCCAGTACTTCTAACTTGTACCTCATGCACGGATGGCCTCTTAACTCATCTTTTTTACCTTTAGAGTAGGAGGCGATGAGGACAATATGTTTACTGACCTCTAAAATACCAGTATTAGCTCCATTTATTTTATTAGCAATTTCCTTCGGCCTTCAGGAGACACTTTCCTTCTAATTTTGGGTTCGGGAACAACTCATTTTCACACCTCTATCTACATCATAATTTTGTAAAATTCAATTTATTTGCCTTTCTGGCTTGTGTGGAGTGTTTCCTCTTGGGAGTAATCCCAGGACCAGATGGCCTGGTAAGTTGGTCTGTCTGGCTTTAGCTCAACACATGAGGCATCAAGACTGGGAGTACAAGAGAACGTGATCTTGTCCTCTCCACACGTTACAGAAGCCCCTGGTGGCCTGGCTGATTGTTTTCGCTGCCCGTCTCCTGACTAGATGCTGCTTGGATCTATTTTTACTTTGCAGAGTTTGAATTTGTGGAGTTTTTTTTCTTTTTCTTGAACTCAAGGCCTCTAACTTACCAGGCAGGTGCTCTACCACTTGAGCCACACCCCCAGCCCTGAATTTGTGTTACTGTGTTTGTTTGATGATTCTCCACCATGGCATGTAGGTAGTATTGCTACCTTTTTGGTTTTTTTTTTTTGGTGGTACTGGAGCTTCAACTCAGGGCCCTAGACCTTTAGCCACTCCACCAGCCTATTTTGTGTTAAGTATTTTCAAGTTAGGGTCTTGTGAACTATTTGCCCGGGCTGGCTTTGAACTGCGATTTCCTGATCTCTGCCTCCTGAGTAGCTAGGATTACAGACATGAGCCACCAGCGCCTGGCAGTATTGCTATTTTACAGAAGGAAATGGACTCAAGACAGCAGAAAGAAGCCAGAGATGATGATTTCTGTCCAGTGTTCTTGACACTGCAGCAGATTTATGCAGTGTCCTCGGTATCCTGCTGTCAGAGGGAGAGGGTGGGTCTAAAAATTTACTCAAGTCTGATAGATTTGCAGCAGCTATGAAATAAGCTTACTCTAAGTCTAGAAATACTATCTGATGCTCACATTTCTGCATAAAGGAAGCTATCACCTTTTTTCACCTAGAATGTGAACAAATTTTGACTATTTGTAGATCCTTAATTTGCATTTGAGGGAGGTCAGTACTGGGGTTTGAACTCAAGACCTTGCACTTTCCTATCACTTGAGCCATGTCCCCATCCCTTACATTCTTAATTATTAGGCTGTATTCCTCTACCACAGTTACCATTTCTAGTCTTGTTAAAATCCCATTGGATTTTATTTGGGATTCACAATAATTCGTGTGCAGGAGTGTCCTGATAGGAGCTGTGTTGTATATTCTAATGTGTAGACATTTTTGCAAGAGAATTGCTGGCAGTCCTAGAGAAATTTTAAGTGCTTCAGAGAGTACATGTCATTTGGTTAGACTCATTTGCAATTAGCATATTATTTGTGATATTTTAATTAGGGTGTTGAGAAGATTTGATTAGTTAATGTTGTGAGCACTTGAATATTGTAGTGATAATTTATTGATCATTTGTGGGGTAGATTGTTTTCCTAATCTGTTTTCTCCATCTCAAGTATGTGGTTTCCTAGCCAGGGACTATATTTCCCAGCCTCCCTCCAGGAAGATATGGTCTTATGACTAAATGGTTGTGTGCAGAAACAACGGATGATGTTTACTATAGATTAACTCTGAGACAAACTGCTTTTCTACACTCTGCCTTTTTTCCTCTCAAACTGGAACTGAGGTGTGCACCATCACCCATGCAGATAGGGACAGGGCCTTAGGGGGATGGCACAGATGCATGGAAGGAGCCCTGGGTCATTAAGTGGTATGGAATAGAGCCACCCTGCTAACAAGTTGGCAGGATTGTTAATGTGAAATAATCGAAGCCATTATGCTCTGGAGTTTCTGTTATAGTATCCTGTCTTATAATCTAATAGTATTTAACACAATATTGTTACCATAACGTGGTATCATGAAAGTTTGTTTAAGATACAGTTGAGAATAGCTCACGCTCTCTGTCTCTATCTCATAGTAGGGTTTGAACTCAGCATCTCTAGCTTGTAAGAAAGTACTCAATGCCTGCAGCCACATCTGCAGTCCTAGTTTTTTGCTGTGGTTATTTTTTGGATAGGATCTATTTTTGTCCAGAGCCAGTCTTAGATACAGTCCTGCCTACTCTAAGAACTTTTGATTCTCCTGATCATCACCTGTCAAGTAGCTAGGATTACAGGCATGAGCCATTTCACCTGGTCAAAAATTGCTATTCTTCTTTGACCCTATTCTCAAATTCTGGTGAGCTAAATTCTTACGCAGGGTTGGCTTTGAAGACAGTAGGAAATAGGTATCTCATAAATTGTTTGGGATTTATCTTAAGTCAATATTTCAATACTGTGCTGAGCATGATGGTGCACAGTATAATCCCATCGCTGTGGAACCGGAGGTATGTGGATCTTGAGTTCAAGGCCAGCTTAAATTACATAGTAAGTTTGAGGTGAGCCTGGACTACATAGTGAGACCCTATCTCAAAAATTTTTTTTCAATATTGTCTCTGTTTTATTCTTTTTGAGACAGTACAGATGAAAAAATATTTTTCCATTAATCTCATGGCAACTTTATAATAATGCCTAATTCTTAGATGTTCTTCCCCTGGAGAGATGGGGGCCTGCTGGACTTAATTACTCATAATTAATAAAATGTAGAAGTGATGCTGTGGATTTCTGAAAATAGTCATAAAATGCAATTCAGCTTTCACCTTCCTTGGACTCTTAGCTATATGAAGAAGTCTAATTACCTAGAGTTGTTGGTGCTGTGTGGAAGCCCATGTTACTCAAGAGACCCTGTGTCCATGTTCTGGCTGACAGTCTCAACTGAAGTCCCATAGTTAACTGCCCAAACCAACTGCCAGCATCTGAGGACACCTCCTTGCACCTCCAGCCCAGTTGAGCCTTGAGCCTTCAAATGAGACCCAAGCAAGAAGTACCCAGGTGAGCCTTACCCAATTATTTTTTTCTTTTTGCACTACTGGGGTTAGACCTCAGCTTTGCACTTGCAAGACAGGCACTCTACTACTTGATATCTCCAGCCCTGATCTCAGTCTCTCAAGTAGCTAGGATTATAGGTGTGAGCCACCGGTGTCCAGTATCTTTCCTAAATTCTTGATCCATAGTAATTGATGGTTTTATATCACTAAGTTTACACAGTAGTAACGGAAGCACCACCATTATGCCATCATGGTTTGCATGTTTGAATTATTTGGCCTCCACTTTCTTGTAGTGGTTCCCAGTAAATATGGTTTTAAGGACAAGGAGTTTACATACATTGTATTATCTTTTTTAATTCTCACAGTACTCTTAATGAGTAGATATGATTAGCATTCTATCTTACAGCTGAGAAATCCATGGCATAATAGCCCAAAGTCATACTCTTAATCACTGTTCTGTTGTCTCTTCTGAAAAATGAGTGCCCCCTAGAGTCATAGAATTTTAGACTTTGATGACACATTAAAATTAACTTACATCACGACCCACCACTCCACCTCTATCCCTTCACTGTGGTTACATGCTAGAATCTGTGCTAGCATGATGGTTTAATGTGACTTGACCCTGGAACACATTAGAATTTGACAGAACAAGGAAAAATTTTATTTCTCCAAGTGTGTGCTGACCACTATACTACTCTGCAAAGTCAAACTTTT